CTCAAAACTCTTTTGGAAATCTCAGTTTCCTCTCATCTTAAATGTGAAAACATTTGTAAACTTCTTTGGGAAATACATAGTTCCCTAATAACTTTTGAGAAATGAACTCAACTCTTGACTCTTGACTTCTCTCGAAACTCTTGACTTAACTGAAAACTCTTGACTTAACTTGAAACTCGATACTCTTTACTTGACTTGAAACTTGAGACTCTTTGCTTGACTTGAAACTCTATACTTAACTTGGAACTCGAGCCTTAAAAAGAAGTTAAAACGTTCAATGAAGACTCTTGGAAAACCTTAAATACTTGTTTTGACTTACTTACTTCTAAGCTTGACTTCACTTGACTTGGAAACTAACTTCACTTGACTTGGAATCTAACTTTCCTTGAATTGGAATTATGAATTCAAGCTGTTTGATCACATGTTATGGAGGGATTCTTGATGTTTAGACGTACTTTGGAGTGTCGGAAACAACTATGAAACATAGGTATAATACCTAGGAACATGCATGAGAAAGTGGGGAAGGAATGGGAAAACATGGCGCTCTTGGCGCTCTGAGAGGCGCGGAATGCCAGACCAAAAACTTCAGAGGAGGCCTGCTGGCGCTCTGATGGGCGCGCCACGCCAGGGGTAAAACATCAGAACCCCTGTTGGGGCGCACTGGCTGGCGCGACACCCCAACCTTTTCCCCCAAAAATTCGACTCTTCTCCTTCATTTTTCCAACTCTAAACCTCATTAACTTCAATGGATCCAGCCCCAAACACTTAGAATCATAAACCCCTCAACATACAATGGATTTCAACTCACAACACAACCGGAAACATGTCCCAAATCAACAAGAACTTCAACACAATCAATTAACAACATCAACAACAACCAACAACTTCAACAACACAACCAATCTTTTCTCAATAATAAAAAATGAGTTTGGCGTGTGGGGGAAAGAACCAACCAACACTATGAATTCACATACCTAGTAGGGATCACCCCCGACGATATCCACGACGGAAACTTGCTTGATCTCCTCTTTCTCCTCTTCTTCTACTCTTCTTCTCTTCTTCTTCTCTTCTTCACACAAAACCCTCACTCTCACTCTCACTCTTTTAAAATGGTAAAACTGATCTAAAAAGCAGCTTGGACCCTTTAAATAACCAAAAGAATTGGTTAGGAAAAAGACCAAAATACCCTTACAATTTCCGGACGGATTTCCCTGCCAACTGCCCAACTTCCAAAGGGCATAACTCACTCATACGAACTCGGAATCGAGCAAAATCGGTGGCGTTGGAAATATCATTCCACAAGCTTCGCAGTCATAACTGGAACTACACCTAAATCATCCTGAGATAGGAGTTATGACTGTTCAAAGTTGGTCAAAAACTCACTTTTTCCCATACTTAGTCAATTTTCCAGATCTTTAAAATTCTTTCCAAAAAAATGAAAATTTCCAATTCTAAGCCTCTTCAATTATTTCACATTGCCGGATGTTATAGTAGTTGTGCGAATACAAATACTTGTCAAGACTTCCATTAGGCATATACTCGAGCACTAAAGCCTTTAAAGTCAAGGTTGGAATAACTGGTGATGACTTTCACAAGATTCCTATGGCGAAGGCTGCGCAAAACTTCACATTCTGTATCGAAACTCTTGAATGCTGCTTCCAGTTGCAGATTGAACACTTTAACTGCAATGGCAGTACCACTCCTGAGAACGCCTTCGCACCAAACACATTCATGTTCATTTATAATAATTTGAATAGAAAATTTAGCAATTAGTCTTTGAATTTAAATCCATCAAATACCCTTGTAGAGTGAGAGGTGGTGTCTAACATTGAAAGTTTATGAAGTGTGATTTTTTCATTAAATCCATAACTTGTTTTAATAACTAACTTTATAAACCACTAATTGAATTAATTCAAATTCATGAGCCATAAAAATAACTATTAATATTTGTATTGAGATAGTATGTCTATGTCATATTTCTGAGATGCATTTCCTTAATCCCGATTTTGCGTGAACACGAAACAGGCTCAAGATGAGTACAAAACTACGTCACATTGCATTCCCTAAATCATGAAATGTCCAAAAAATATACCTACTAACAAATGTACAAGACTTTTGGTGCATCTCAAAAAAAAAAAACTTATTTAATTCACACCATATATTAAAAAAAATACATAAAAAATTTTCAATTCATAATATTGCTAGTGAGTTTCTTAAAAAAACAAAATAGGCAAATTCAAGCTCTGATAGAAAAAAAGAAGAAAATTTATACAATTCATGGATGAACAATCAACAAGAAGAACTAAAAGAGCTTCAAAACTACATCGTTCGTGCTCGAAAAAACGAGCTAAACGATGACGAATTGAATGAGTTGCTAAGGAAAATGGTGAACCAACTTCCAAGAATACGCGAACGGCCGTAGTCGACTCGCGAGAGTCGACGTATCTCCGTTCTTCGCCCCACTTGGTGCACCCCTTTGGAAAATTCGGTCTTGTGGATAGGTGGGTGTAGGCCGTCTTCGTTTATACGGCTGATTTATGTGCTATACGGAATCAAAATCGAGTCTCATATCGCGTTATAACTACAGGTAGGATGTTAAATAAGCTGATTGGGTTAAATTTGAATGTATTAACGAATTATTTGATCCGTCAAAAGTTTTTTAAGATGAAATGAGCTTAGAATAAATAAATGATCTAGACAATAGATTATAGTTCAATCCGTTCACCTTTTACACATAATTTTGTTGATTGTTATTTTATAATTTTTTAAATTATTTTATAATTTTTATTATGATTTTACCTAATGTATAAAATAGGGAATGTATAAATTTTTTCCATCACTACCTTCTCAGTCGAGCTCGTCACACTGAACTTGTTTATTGTGGTTTATATGAGTTCGTCGCAACCGATCTTATGCGGTTTACATCTCCTATGATTTGTAGTTCATTGCACACGAGCAGATTTATCTGGTGCGTGTGGACTTAAAAGGATAGCGATGGCAGGTTTTCCATTAAAAAAAAATGAAGTCTTATTTTTAATACTTTAATTAAGATTGTTAATGTGGGCTATATAACAACTTTTAGATAAGTTGAGTTAAAATAGATTGAGTTTATAAATGAGACTATCATTATATATCCTGTCCAAATATAATTGAGTTAGACAGAAGTTATACTTTTATGAACTAATTTTATGGACGTACATACAGGGTATGAAAATTGGAGACTTTGGTCAGCTTTCTGGTAAGCAAATTACCATGATTGATAAGTTACAAAGACAGATTATTTTAGAAGAGAGAAGATTTTCTTCAAGGTTAGCTAGCTTGCAAGAAGATGTTGTTGATCAACCGTTTGCTATGGCGGCCAGAATTTATGATACTGAACAAGGTACATGACGTATTAATTTATTTATCGATGTTTGATTAAACATGTTTAGGATTTTTTTTATTTCAATTTAATATTACTTTTCTTTTTTTATCATATTAATCTCTGTCCATATATACATTTATTTATTAGACAAATAATTAGTAAGCGCTTATCCCTTGTTTGGTTATTAATCCTGGTATAAGTTATATCAGGATTAGTAATTAGTATCGGTATAAGTTATCCTCATCAAAGGGTGGAATAATAGTACTGGATTAGTTATCCTAGGATAAAATAGTGAAAATGATAAATATCCATGAAGTCCCTCAAACTCTTTTTCTACTAAATAAGGTGGATGGTGTTTTTGTAAAAGAACTTCTAAGAAATTTATGCAATGTATGTTAATTTTTAATACAACAAACCAAACAATCACTAAGCAATAATACATTACCAACATAACTAATCCCAACATAACTTGTCTTCAAACTAAAGACCCCTATGAGTTATGTTGGTCAAGTAAATTGGGAGGTAGAGACAAAGGTGGATAAGCTTTGGATATCTACTAATCAGCTCTCATCATCTTGTATTCTGCATTTACATTTTTCTCCGCAAAAGTTGTGTTTGAATCTTAACAGAATTTCTTCTTGCTGTCTGGTTGCTTTTACAGAATGCTCTCAGGGAATCATTTTTTTGGTGCTATTCCTAAAGAATTCGGAAGACTCGATATGCTTGAAGTGCTTGACTTGAGGGATAATAATTTGAGTGGAACAATTCCAGCAGAAATAGGAGACCTGCAATCACTAAGAATCTTGTGAGTTAATGATTTGTTGTGTGCAGATGTATATATACATATGCATACACATTCATTATGCGAAGTGATTTCAAAATGCTCATCAATCGTGTTTATTTCGTTTTTCCAGGTTGATTCATAACAATAACTTTGAGGAGAGTGTTCCTTTGGAAATTGGGAAGCTTCATTTAGTCACAGAATTACAATTCGACGAAAATCTCACTTCTGCTTTTGCTTCTGGAACTCTCTGTATAAGAAAATTTCGTCATTGGTAGGATTCTTTTATTTGTTTTAGTACCCTATCTTCATATTCAGCTGGTTTTTTGCATATCAGATGCTGGATAGTCTATCTTTGTGGCAACACACTATCTAATTGATCTAGCTCATTTCTCAATTTGATATTTTGCATGTCTTACAGCATCTGGCAAAGCAGCATGAACCCATTCAAGACGATAACCTCCATTATTGAACCAATAAAATGTACACTTTTGCATTACCTCAGTTTCTTCCAACTGTAAGTAATTAAATAGTTTTTCACATCACGAGTCATCTAGTTAAGTTTTATTATTGAGAGACATTTTTTCTATTTCTTTAGGCCATCTCCTGGAACGGGCTTTATGGATGACCGGAAAGACTGCTCTGACAACCTTCCAAGTGAGTAAACACGTCATATTTTTTAAAATAACTCAGAAGAACCGTTTACAAATAATAATTCTTCATTGTCTAGCAGGGTTATCCAGGCCTCACATCATCCACACTATACAGCACCAAGAGGAGATTGCACGCCGTAAGTTGGCTGAACAATCCAGTAACCTTGCTGCTGCTCCTGCCAATATCAATGGACCGTTGGGTCCTGTCATTCAAATGCCAAGAAGCAGTGGGTCGTTTCGTGCGGTGCCAAATTCCGATGGAACACATCCTACAAACTTACCATCACCACCTCCACAGCATGAATCTCAAGACAAATTACATCCTGTGGGACAGTCTGCAAGTGCTGTAAAACAGTCGCCTGCTGTGAAAAAGCCAACTAATAGCCAAGGCCCCCCTGCTGGAAAATCGGAAAGTACTTGGAAGTACGTAGTTGGGATTTGCATTGGAGTAATTTTGCTCATTCTTGCTGCTTCTGTGTTCTTAATCTGCCGAATCAGAGCGGCTAGAACAATTGGCCCTTGGAAGACTGGATTGAGTGGACAGCTGCAAAAAGCATTTGTTACAGGTACTCACATCATATTGTGCCGAAAAGTGATACTGCTAATATTCTGCTCCCCACCCTGATAGTAGTTGCATTGCTAACAATATTCTTAGCATAGCGTTACCTTATCAAAAAAAATATTCTTAGCGTAGTGTTATAACAATTTAACTAGAGTAAAGGGAGGTACTGATATTCTTCGTCTTATGAGGAATTAGAGGACTAATGTTCTCAGCCTAGCATTGTTATATACCCTTTTTCACTATATGTTTGCTAAGACGAGAAGGTGCAAATGGAACTATTTCCTTCTTTCTCATGAGAAGTGAATTAGCTGAGACGTCAATACTAACGCTTGAAGGCTGGAATCCTCCCCTTATACTTCTAAAATGTCGCTGATCTTACCCTTTTATATACCCTTTTTCACTATATGTTTGCTAAGCCACCGCTTGCTGATCCCGAGACTAATGTCTATAGCCTTGGAATCTTTAATAGAATAATTCTGGCAAATCACCTTATTCAGAAGAAAAAGAGTCTCTTCTAAACTGGGTAAATATCCTTTATCCTTATTTTCATATGTATTGAACTTAATGTTCTGATCCCTAGGCTGCAATTGTTGTGTCTGGCTAGATCCAGAGGCGGATCTAGAGATTGTTGAAGGGGTTCATCTGAACCCATTGTTGTTGTCTCGAATCTCGATCCATAAGTACTAAAAAAACTTCATGCTTGTGTGTGTGTTAATTAGGTTTATTCTGAATCCATCAGCAAATATTGCTTCCATCTCGAACCAAAGGTACATATGCCAAAAACCTATATGTTGCTCCGACTCTTAGTGCATTTTTCGGAGGATCTGACAGGGTGTGTCAATATTTTTGGAAAATCCGAGCAACATAGCCGGAAACTGTATGCTTGTGTGTGTCTATTAATTAGGCTCAAGTTGTACCCATTGACAGGAAATTGCTTTCATCTTGAACCATAAGTACATATTCCAAATACCTATATTGCTCGAGACTCATAAAATATGTTGTCAGGTGCATGTCGGATCCTCCAAAAGTAATGCATTTTTGGAGGATCTGGCACGGGTGTATCAATATTTTTAGAGAGTCCGAGCAACATAGCAGGAAAGCTTATGCTTGTGTGCGTGTATTAATTAGGCACATTCTGTACCCACTGACAGAAAATTGCTTTCATCTCAAACCACAAGGAAATATGCCAAAAACCTATCTTGCTTGAACTCATCAAAAATGCTACCAGGTGTGTGGCAGATACTCCAAAAGTAGTGCATTTTTTGAGGATTTGGCATGGGTGCGTCTATGTTTTAGAGAGACTGTAACATAGCTGAAAACTTTATGCTTGTGTGCGTGTATTAATTAGGCTCATTTTGCACCCACAGAGAGGCTACTGCTTTCATCTCGAACCATAAGTACATATACCAAAAACCTATGTTGGTCAGACTCTTCAAATATACCACATGGTGCATATCGGATCCTCCAAAAGTAGTGCCTTTTTGGAGGATCCAACGCGAGCGCGCCAACAACTTTATGCTCATGTGTGTGTAAAAATTAGGCTCATTCTGAACTCGCTGACAATGAATCCTGGATTTGCCTCTGGATAGAACTGATCCGTCAAACTTCCTTATACAATTTATTAACATCATAACCATGGTTGTTTTCAGGCGGCACAATATTTTCGTCACGACAAGCAGAATATTCAAGAATAATGAGCTTATGGTTATTTGTGAAGTAATTGAACAATGCCTTCAAGAAGATCCAAGGAAGAGACCAACTATCAAAGAATCCATTGATAAATTAAGGGAAGCAATTGATGTATCACCAAATGCTGCGGTTCCAAGGCTTTCTCCTCTGTGGTGGGCTGAACTCGAGTTGTTATCCAGCGAGGCAGCGTGATCCAGCTTAATTTGTCCGTCTACGTTGTAAGTTTGAGTACGTACGTGTTGTTGTTGTATATTATTGGTTTATTCTTTTATTATTATTTTGTCTTTGCCAAGAATGACATTTCTTCATTTTCATTTGTGGGATATTTTGTGGTCTATGCCCTTTTTTGGTCAAGAATGTGTGTGTGTTTGTCTCTCATCTTTGAGTATTTCTTCTGCATAATTTTTTTTTACTCTCTAATGAATATGTGTGTATATATATTCAGATGAATTTAAGTTATATACATTGATAGGCTAAAACCTTAATTTTTTTTTGTTTTACACTATGAGAGAATTTTAACCTATGATAGCAAGTTATTTGTTATTTATTATTTTTATTCGATTACTGTTTGTTGTTAAGGTAGATCTTTTTCTTTCTTCCACTTTATGTTTTTTTGAAAACCAAAAATTATCTTGAATACTATGTAATGCTTACTCTCAAACTCTTTGTTTATGAGTGTTAATAAATAGAGTTCATTAAGTATATCTTGCGTTGCTGCGAAAATGGAATTCCCAATAACTAGAACAAAAGATTCATACGTAAACGAGCCTCTACTTAAGCCTCAAAAGATAAAGGTACATAAATAACTATTTGATCGCCATCAAAATTGGCATTGGATCCATTGCATATTTGCATCTAATAAATTATGAGTTTAATTCATCTTGTTTAGCAGAAATACAGATATTATTTACTCATTATCAGACGATCACTTATTCACAAATTTCATGTGAAAAAAAAGTTTCCATTTCCATCTCATAAAAAAACCTTTTTCAATAATGTTTATCCTTATTCCCCTCTTTTTAAGAGTATTTAAATGATAGATTCTATAGGAACTAAAAGCGGAAAAATCGAAAACACATGTATACGGTTTGTTGTTCATTTTACGCATTGTATTAAATTAATCTAAAAGTATCAATTACTTCTATCATTTTAATTTGTTTATTTTTTCATGAAAAGCTTAGCCAAGCATCTTCTACTTTAATATATATATACTTTTAACAATTTTGAAGAACATGGTATTAAACACATGTTTTTGACTCTTTGTGCTTTTTTTCCCATAGAAGTTGGCAATTTGTATTTCCCCCCTATTTATCATAAGAAAGACAAAATCCTAGTACTACTACTATCATCACGAATTGAAAATGAGTAGCCCCGTGAAGAGTTTTTTTTTAAATTTATTTTTAATTTTAATGGTATTTATTTCAGAACAATTCATAATTTAGAGAACTCGTTTCTAGAGATGGGGCTCCAAATTTCTATTTTCTTATGTGATGATTATACAATATTTTCCATCGTTTTGGATTCTTTCAATTTATTCTTTTATGTTAAAGATATAATTAAAAATGATGCAAAATTAAAAAAAATTAAGGATACATTATTATTTATGTTTTCTCTTTTCAACAAACAAAAAACATTTCCACTTTAGTAGGGAGATGGACGTCATTGGCAACTTTTTGTATTATTTTATTCATTTACTATTCAAGTTAATAAGATTCGCGTTGAAAAATCTTACTCTAAAAAATAAAGTGTTTTCCATCATAAACTTTTTCTTTATTTGCAAACATTTGAAAAACTTTCCTTTAATTTATCTAGAAAAATATCATATTTTTATAATTAAAATAATTTAATTATTTTTTTAATTAATCAAAAAATAATGTTTTAGTGAAATTAGAAAAAATAAATTGACATTTATAATATTCTTTTCATCCTCTAATATTCTTTATTTTTATTTTTATCTTCATAGCTTTCATTCCCATGACCTTCGCCTCCCCATAGTACTTATCTAATCAAATTACTATACTAATAGTTTTAAGAAAATACATTTTATTTATGTATCGATAAAAAAATATTTTTTATATAAATTATTTTCCTTCACACCAAACACACTGATATGTTCATTTATAATATTTTGAATAGAAAATTTAGCAATAGGTCTTTGAATTTAAATCCATC